GAGTTTAGACTATAGCTCATCAGGCTTCTGCTATGGTTTAGATTAGGGCTCGTCTTGGCCCCCAATTTTTTGGAAACTTAGTATTAGGGTTTAGGGTTTAGGGTTTAGGGTTTCAGGGTTTGGGATTTGGGGGCTTGAAAGGGTTTCTATGGGCGTCCGATAGATTAGGGGACTCTGAGGTGTCCCCGCAAGAAGGATTATTTCCGTGTCTACATTTGATTCCCCCCCCCATTTCTGGGATATTGCAAATGAAAAGCAAACGAAAAGCAAATCAAGACTTCCATGTAATATTGCTTTGGGTGTAGGGCTTGGGTTTCTGGATCCTTAAACTTGGAACTTTTTGGGGGACATCTCAGCAATCAATTTTCCCTTCCCATGGGAAGCACACCTTTGATCCTTTGTAGCTGTTTGGGGGTGTCCCAACCGTCATTTTTTTCCTTTTCATGGTCATCTGCGCAGTAGTCCCCATGTTCAATTCCCAAACGCGGTGCTGAGCACGAAGGACTCATTTTCCCCCATTTGCTGGGTCGCCGCTGCTAAATGGTCACAGTCTGAGAGCCCTCTCACCTTCTATGTATACATTTTGGTAAGTAAAGTCTAGACCCTGAACAGCCCCTACAGAGCCTCTATAACTCCTTTACAGGGAGACGATATTACGGTAATCTTATCTGAGCTGCGTAGAGGCAACTCAGACTAAGGATGGCACTGTTGCAGGCTCGATCGATTAAACCCTAAACCCATCATAGAAGCTTCAGAACGCCAGAATTGTTATGCGGTTCGAAACTGAGCTAAAGTCTCAACTCCTCAAAGAGGATTACATAGGGGATTATGTAACCTGCTTCATTTAGGGTTTAGGGTTTACGGTTTTAGTGGGGTTGCACAGGGGATTATATGGGGGACTATCACAGGGGCTATGAAGAGGGGTACTAGGAGTTTAGACTATAGCTTAAGCGGAGTGACATTGGTACCAGAAGCTCTGATCCCTAACATGTTGATACAGGGTACACGCTAGATATAATTAGGTATACCCTAAACCCTAAACCAGATATACCTAGGGATACGATTTATCACCGAGTCATGACAGGCTGATGCAGGGATTCTTGAGTCTTCCTACACCCAACGCCAGTAGCCACGAAACCCGAACCCGACAAAGCCAAAACCTATATACCCTCAACCCTATACCCTCTCACCTAGACCCCATGCCCTACAGCCCTAAACACTAAAAAGCCTAAGCCCTAAACCCTGAAAACCTTAAAGAATATGAGCTATAGTCTAAACTCCTAGTATCCCCCCCTTAGTAACCCCTATAGTAGTACCCTATATAATCCCTTACATAACCCCCTTTATAGAGTTTAGATTATGGCTCATATTGGCCTGAGTCTGAGGTCTGAGAAGCCGATGGAGGAGGCAAAAGGTGGACTAACACTGGAGCAGCTGGACTGGCAGCTCGGATGACTTGCTGAAGGTTGGGGCTTCAAGGGCCTTAGTTTGTTTAGGATGTATTTTTTGCGGGTTAAGGGTTTTAGGATTTAAGTTTGGGCTTTAACGGTTTTGTTCTCAGTCGAGATGCAAGTGATATCCCAAGGTAACATTGCAGCTGACTGAGAAGGGGAAGGAAGATGCAACGCTAAGAGCCAGATGATTCCGGGCTACAGTAAAGGCTGCAACAGGATGTAGAGCCTATAGTCCCCCTTAAGTAGATAGAATATTGGGTATATGCGGATCTTAGTGTAGAATACCCAAAGCCCTATTCTATCTACTTAAGGGGGACTATAGGTTTTGGGGCTGGGTAGTGTCAAACTTCGGACTGGCAAGGGAATGCTAGGGGTCCAGGTAAGGGCTATTCCTTGGTCAGTGCTGAACGATCCCCTGGTCACAGCTTCGCCCTCCGCGAATCCTTTCTGTACAGCCCAGGGACAGAACTCCTATAATCCCCTTCCCTTAATATTTTTTACTCCCCATTGTGATATATTATAGTATATTGGGCATATTGGATATTAGGAGGGGTGGGCAGGTTTGATATTAGGGGAGGGGATTACCTCAGAAAGCAAGCCAACAAACTGCCACAAGTCAGATGAGTAGTTCCTAACATGTTTAGGCTTCAGGGTTTAGATTTCGATGCCCCAAAATGTTCGGTGCCGTAATAGAATCTATACCCGAAAGGGGCCCACATCTTTGAGACAACTCGGATGACTCCCCACAAATTCCGGTGGGCATAGTTCTTTTGTGGTGGATTGAGTATGATCCCGACTGCGTTCCCCAATGGGACATACTTTTTCCAGAGTTATAGAAAACATGCCTGTCTAAAACCTCAAGCCCGAATCCTTCAATTAACTTGTATGCCTTAAGTCCCTAAGCCAGCAACCGCAACCCTCGACCCTAATCCATAAACACAAGCCCTCCAACCGCATTCCCATATTTCGAAATCGGGGAAAACCAATCGCGAAACCCTGAACAAAGACACACCCCTTAACCTTCATTCCTGAACCCAAGCGGCTTAGCGGCATTTCAAAGCCTGAAGAAATGCCAATACTGTTCTCGTGTCGTCCTTCTATAATTTTACCCTAAACCCCATATGAGCCATAGTCTAAACTCCTTACAGGGGGTTTATGGGGGGATATTAAGGGGGATACTAGGAGTTTAGACTATAGCTAATACAAGCCCCAGCTTCGGCGTCTTTGTTTTCATGATCTCCTCTTCTCTGATTGTCCACTATTCCATGTAGCTCCTACCCTCAACCTATACCCTTACCGCTATATGAGCTATAGTCTAAACTCCTTAGAGTTAGGGGATTGTTCTAGGGGTTGATGAGGGGGATACTAGGAGTTTAGATTATAGCTCATATAACGCCTATACCCGTCGAAGGGACCCGAAAGCCTTAATTTTAATTACATAGAACTACCAGCCCCAGGGCTCCAAGTCTATAAACAATACTTAATACTTACCCAAACCCCCTACAGGATCCAAAAAATGGAACCTCCTAGTAATCCCCTAGTTTCCCCAACGTAGTAATGGGTTCATATTGGGGGGGGTTCCATTTTTTGGATCCTTTAGGGGGTCTGGGTACGTTGGGCTCCAAAGTCTACAAATATTACCTACATGGAGCCTCAGGGCAGGGTCCTGATGACCCCAGACTAGTGAGGCTTTCTGTCCCCCAACAAAGCCTGAATTGTTCCAATCGTCCTTTATGAGGCCTTGGTTTGAGATGGTGTGGGGAAAATAGTGGGCCAATGATATTATTCAGAAACCGTCTAGCCTAAACTCTATATCCTACAGAACCTCTATAACCCTTTCGAAGGGACCCCCCAAACCTATTCTACTTGCTTAAGAACTATCAACCCAGACCCCCTAAAGGGAACCCCCCCAATATGAACCCATTACTACATTGGGGAAACTAGGGGATTACCAGGGGGTTCCATGTGTTGGATCCTTTAGGGGGTTTGGGTATCAAGCTGAGGCCGAACATGCACGGCCTGGCCTGCGGCTCATCAGGGCTCCTTTTCCTATTCGAGCTTTTCAGGCCCGGGCCCACGGGGTTTAGGGTTTATTGGGGTTATGTAGGGATAATGGAAAAGAAAATGGAAATTAGCATAATGGGGTTATATAGGGTTTAGGGTTTATTGGGGTTATGTAGGGATAATGGAAAAGAAAACGAAAATTAGCATAATGGGGTTATATAGGGTTTAGTTTGGGGTTGAGGCCTTTGGAGTTTAGGGATTGGGGTCTGGGGGGGAAGTATGTAAGGGGATATACGGGGCATGTAAGAGCTCTTTGTGTGGTGGGGTGGGGACATATACGAAGTGTACAAGACCTTCATGAGGTACTCGCCGCGCGTAATTGTCCTCGACTGAGGGTATGTTGGACAGGCTTATGGTGATGTAAGGAGACAGAGTATAAGGGTTGAGATTCGTGGGGCTGTACGGTTTGGTTTAGGTTTGCTGTGGTTGGGATTCGGCGATGGGTTAGGGCTTGGAGGTCAAGATTCGGGTTTCCAGGTTTGGTTCTGAGGGTTTCGCCGCAAAATCAGCATCATTTTAGCAGTAGTATGTTTTTCATAGTCGTTCAACAGCGTTTGCATAGTTCCGTAGGGTTACATGTAGGCATATATATGTCTTACACACCATATTCATACGGGACTGGAAGAAGCTCGTAGGGTCCCGCTTATTGTGGACCGTACAGAGATCATGTTGCACAACTCCCAACGATTCATGCGGAATTTTTCCCGATCTGGAGGCTCCATGGGGCCTAAAGTCCTAATCCCGAATCCCTCAGGCCATTGCCCTGAGCAGGTTTTGCCAGGGTCAGCCGCCATCCGACTTCGAGTGCTACGCTGCGGCCCTGATCTACGCCGTAATCTACGCGTCAAGGCATGAGACTTAGAGTTCAAATGAACCATAGTCTAAACTCC